TTGCTGGGCATGGGCACCAATGGTAATGACGGCCAGCAGGTGAAGAAGGTTTGTCCGGAAGACCTTCATGGTTTTGCCAAGATTACGAGAGCTCTGAGGACGCTGTTGTGGATGGGAACGATGTTAGAAGAACCACAGTAGGCACCAGTTCGCGCAGTACCGCATGAGAATCGCTAGTGCGAGGGCTCGTCTACACATATACTACTGCGAATACATCAAAGTCATAACCCTAAGAAACCATCTAAATCAGGCCAGTGCATCCCGGCTCGTCTCAGACTCGTCGATGACCTACGATGCCCCTTTTTCCTTTTCTGACAAGGATCAATGCCACGCGATATAGTTACATGGTATGGTTCATGCATGATGAGCCAGCCCTACGACTAGTGTATGTGCAAGGTACACTGCCCTGACATTTTGCAGTTTACCGCCTCGGCAGACAAATGCATGTGGGGATGCAGGGCACAGCCGATATCTCGGGCACCTATCATGCAGTGGAAATTATCTGACCATAGATTTCGCCCGTAAGGTCGACAGAAAGTAATTGGAACTGAGGCAGGAGTGCATGAGGAGATTGTGACGAGCAAAATTAAAGTAGACATGTCTCCGGTGCAGTCAGATAGGATGACCACATACCTCCCAACAACAAGGTCAGCACACCGATCATGAGATATTACGCCCCAGGGGAGTCCGAATAAGGTACCGGATTAGCTCGTCTGCATGTACCCATGTACCCCAGAGCCGGTTTGCGGCTTAACTTTTAGGGGCAGCATAGGTTAAGCTGCGAAAGGCGGCAAATTTCCTGCTCTAAGAAAAGGCCTTTACAAATGCCTAGGCTGGAGACGTTAGGCGTGGCGGCCAACAAGCGGTATGTATAGTTAGAGAATACGGATACCGAATAGTTGATTGGCTCGGTTAAGTAAGCGCCCGGGTAAACCGTTGTTGGAACCGTTCCCGAACTGGTAGCGGCGGACCTGTCCACGGACCCTAATTGAGAGCTCGATAAGATAATCCTACCTTGGTGCCTGCATAATCGATAGTTCGGGGCGAGATCTATGTCGGCATATACGTAGGGCGACACCATGTGCATGCGAGATGCATGGTCTAGTCGATAGTTCGGGGCGAAATCTATGCTTGAGATGCATGGTCTGGACGGCAGATTCTTACGCCCAAGTCACGTACTGTAGGTACCTGCCCGTCTAGGCAGGACATGCGGAGGCAGAGCAAATAAGGCTGACAGAAGTGTGTAAGAGGCGTCATGGTTGCAGTGTCTTGGCCATCGGTTAACAACTTATGCCAGTAAGTACCATGGGCCGTAGAAGGATGACGATCTTGAGGATGGGCGAAAAAAAGGGGTAGACGCAAGGAAGGTCATAAACATAGGGAAGGTCAGTCCTTTTTCCGTCCGACAGCATCAACCAGTCTATTCACTCTTTGGTACATCTTTTCTTCAGCCATAGAGCATGTAGCCATGTTCAACCTCCATCTGAGCCGTGGTCAGGCTTATACTTGGATATCGGCCTTGTTTATCATCCTTCTCATTGGCAGTGGTTTCTTTGTTGAAATAAAACCTTCATCAGCCGTATCTAAGCCGGCACTCACCCCTAGATCTGATCCATCAGTCTCAGACCAGGATAACACTCATCATCATAACCACCATCACCATCATCATCAGACGCCATCATCGAACCAATCCGCTCTTGTCCGTCGAGAAGATTACTCGTGCGGCAAGGGACGTCCCTGTGCCAACGGCGCCTGCTGTGGTCCGAGTGGGTTTTGCGGGTATGGACCGGCATCTTGCGGAACTGGCTGCGTCTCGAATTGCAACGCTCACGCCGAGTGTGGCGAGTTTTCGAGCCCAGCGAACAAGAAGTGCCCTCTCAACACGTGTTGCAGCAAGTATGGCTTTTGTGGGACAACGAAAGTAGGTCAAGATTGCTCTTCCAAATGCGTCTCTTGGGCAAGGAACTGACATCTGCCGTCTCTTGTGTAGGACTTTTGTACCGATGGCTGCCAGTCAAACTGTGTCCTTAGCCCCGCACCGCCCGGTTCTCCAAAGAATCAGGGATTGAAGAAAAGTAAGTGAGATCATCCCGCTACTGAACCAAGGCTGACCTATGATTTTTAACAGTAATTGGGTACTACGAGTCTTGGAGCTATCGTTCGACTTGTAACCACAAGAAGCCGACCGATCTTCCACTCAGCGAGCTGACCCATCTCAACTATGCTTTCGCATTCGTCTCTCCAGGCTCTTATGAGCTCGTCGTTATGGATTCCAAAACCGACGAAGCCCTCTTCAAAGAGGTTACGGCCGCAAAAGACTACAACCCAGACCTCAAGGTTTTTATTTCAGTTGGGGGCTGGACGTTTTCGGACAATGGCACTGTGACGCAGCCTTTGCTCGGCGAGATCGCGTCGTCGGACTCTAATCGCCAAAAGTTTGCTGACAATGTGGTCAAATTCTGCAACAAATGGGGCTTCGACGGGTAAGTCTGCGCCTTCAAAAATGAATTATACAATTCAAACGACTGACATTCCCCACCACCCTCAGACTCGACCTTGATTGGGAGTATCCTGGAGCTCCGGATCGAGGCGGCAAGCCCGAAGATACTGTGAACTTTACCAAGCTGATGAAGGCACTGCGCCAGGCCTTCAATGGCTCCCCACGAGAACTCGAGTTGTCCTTCACTATCCCTTCTTCCTACTGGTACCTGAAGTGGTTTGACATGCCGGGGCTTCTGAAATATGCTGATTGGACCAATTTGATGAGCTACGATCTCCATGGTGTTTGGTAAGACTACACTGACTCTCATCCGTTGCAAGAAGAAGGCGCTCTCCAATCTCAGCCCAGAGAAAGCTGTCAATGGACCCGTAACTTGGACTGACATATTGATCAGGGACCGAAACAACCCTATCGGCAACATCGTTCAGGGTCATACGAACCTGACCGAGATCAAGTTGGCCGCCGAGCTGCTGTGGCGCGTAGGAGTAAAGCCAGAACAAGTTGCCCTCGGGTACGGCTTTTATGGACGCGCATTCGAACTCCGGGATGCCGCCTGTTCAACCCCGGGTTGTACTTTCAAGGGAGGTGCCCGCGAAGGGCCATGCTCCAAGGAGAGTGGCATTCTAATGCATTACGAGATCAAGGCCATACTGGACCAGGCGCCGAACCTGAAGCCTATCTGGGATAAAGAGGCTGCAGTCAAGTATCTTGTCTTTGACAAGAACCAGTGGGTATCGTATGACGATAAGGACACTTTTGGACAGAAGATCGCATGGGCTAACAGCGTCGGCTTTGGCGGCGCGCTTATCTGGGCCTCAGACACAGACGACGATAAGTTCACGGCCATGTCAGGCTTTCTCGACAGGCAGGTCAACCATATCACTGTCAAGTCAACGGCACTCGAGGCCAACTCAGTCACTATTGCACAGACCCACAATGCCTTAAGTGGCAAAGGCTGCTCGCTGTACAGGGACGGTGGATGTCACAATCAACAGGACTTTGACAACCACAATGTACGATGTCCAAACGGCAATCCTCCAATAGGTTATGACAAAGACGGATGTGGGGTAAGTGCACATTTGTTGATCTCATTCCACTGTGATCAGATGAACGCAAAGGTCGCTAAGCATATACTAATTCATGACAGAGCGGCGGAAAACCAATCTGCTGCGAAGGAAACATCTATCCTTCAAAATGCACATGTGAGTCAGCTTTCACCTGGCGAGGTCGAGCATCTACTGACATATGACCGTACAGGGCGCGGCAGCGGTGGTGATTGTAACGGGCAGTGCCACGCAGGCGAGCAGAAGATTCATGGATCATCTTGGTTAGTTGTGCCCCTCGCATCACGTGACGACTGCTACCTAGAATTGCACTGACCTGGCACGCATTCGAACAGGGGCGGCGGCTATGAATCTGAAAGTAGCGTGAAAAAGTGCTCTAGGGGCGGCAAGGCCTTTTGCTGCGAGGCAGCTGACTGGAAGAATGTTGTTAATGGCTGCTACTGGACCAATTGGTAAGTCGATGGCAAGTCAGTCAAAATGCTTCAAGGGAAAGACTGATAATATGCTTCAGTGGTTCCGACTGCCCATCTACTACGAAGACCGTACTTGTGTCAAATAATTGTGATCATGGCATTATATCTTCCGACAGTATGTGATCTCTTTTCAACACCGTTGTCGACGCGTATTGCCGGACAAGCTACTGACCAACGATGATAGAATCTTATTGCTGTCCAAAAGACACTCTGCTTTACGCTTGTCAGTGGAGAGGTAGCCTTCCGGATTGTCCAGTTGCGAATTGTGAGAAAGACGAGGTCAACGTCGTCGTAGATCCGATCGGTAATCACGCATTTATGTGTTCTTGTAAGTACTTCACCTAATTCCGGACTCATCTACCCACCTCAGACTTTATACTCAACTCAAGTTTACGCGATCGTTGGCTCAATTATTATAGGGGGAAGACACTTTGCCGGATGCTGCAAGGTCAGCGACCCTCCACCACCCAAGCTTGAATGCCTCAAGACCACATGCGAGATTGACGAATCTCTGTGTGACGACACCATAGACGACTATGGGGTTCCCGTACCAGCAAGCGACTCGCAATCCCTCGACAAACGCGCCGGGAAGGGCTACGCGTGGATAACGACTGGGGCCGTCGCATTGAGAGCTTTTGCCCGTCCACATCCAACTGGAGCCAGGTATATGGAGCTGCTCAGCCTAAGGTTGAGAGGGCTATACAACAGGTACTTCAGAGTACAGGGAAGGAACTGTCCTGAGCGCGACGTGCGATCACTATACATTGAGACAGAAGACCGCCCGCCCTTAACAGAGGTTGAGCATGGCGCACCGGTAGGAAACTCGCCCTCCTCAGCCAAAATTTGCAAGTGCTAATCTTACCCCGCAGCTTTTTTTGCTAAGTCGGTTTCTGGCGAGCTCCAACTGGGGCCGGGGTTGGCTACAGCGACGTATGGATGCTAGGTCGAATCCAAACCCGACCGGCTCGCCGACCAGAACCCCAGCCGTCCCTGACGAATTCTTTGTAAACGACTTGGATAACCCCACAGCGCTCCCCGCGGATGTCGAGACATTAACCGAGGACTCACCTCAACTCCGCAGGCCTTCGGATCTAATCGCTGAAGGATTTGGTTCTACCACCAATCCCTCCAATTTCCTTTTACTCGAACGGGCCGTGAACCGGGCCAAAGGTCGCATCGAAACGTTTGTGCGCAACATGTCTCCTGACAGATTGACTACTTTGCTCGATCGGGCCGTTGAGGGCGATGAGGCCGCTGCCCAACGAACGCTCGAATCATTAGCGGAGGTGAGAGATTTTCCAAGTTTTGCTGTATCGATGAGCTGACGGTCCTTAGTCACGTGCAGTGTTTACGTATATGAACCATCCGGATACCATAACTCGTGTGGACAACACCATAAACAATATAAGAAGAGCACTCGTGATCATAGAGAGACATATTCCGTCAGCGAGAGGGTGAGTTCGCTGCCACACTCTACTGTATGAGGTTTGCAAGGCTGATAATTGTGTACTTACAGACTTGTGTCTCACTGGGACGAATTTTGTAAGTGAAGCGCCATGCATATGGTACGCGATTGTTACCTTGGCTAATATCCCTTTCTTCCTCTCCAGACCCGACATATATGGCACAAGTTTCCGACTTTGCGCGTTCCGTACAAACGACTCAGATACAGACGATCCGAAGGAGACTCGGCGTAAACACCAACCCTTTCGTCCAGAGGGTACTGTCCGACTTGACAGCGCTGGAAAACGACATTCCGAAGATGAGGTACCCCTTTGAAGACCCGCCAAATTAACACCCAAGAGGATCGACAAGAACTGGTCATAGTGGCGAGCTGGGCTGGGAGACGAAGGTGAAGGCGGGGGTATTGTCGGCACGGTTGAACTGGGTCGATGTGTTTCCGTACGAGTGCGGGTCGCCAGTCGCGGCGTTTCTGCTAATGCGGTCAAGCGATCGCGCTGCCATCACCCGATCCGCTGTCGTGGTGGCCGGCTGTGAATTTTTAAGCTCAGCATGTATCAAAAATGAACACACCCTCAACATGGACTGGTCTAACCATTTTCCCACAACGCCATACCCATGATATGCCGTACAACGACGCACCCCAGGTTAAGAGCCTCCACGATGGCGTCTTCATCTCCGGATCGAACCACGTTTTCTTTTCTCCGCCCGTTCCTTACTACCACTCCATTGTTGTTACGCTTCGTAGAGGCGCGCAAGTGAATTAATAGAGAGAGGATTCTCTAGAACCACGATGCTACCAACTATTTCTTGGAACTCTCTAGAGAGCTTCTTTTTCTCCTTTCCATATTGAGTCGCAAAGAGTGAGTTTAAGATAGGAAGGTATGTCATGTCAAGCTTGCTTACGTCTTCTGTTTCATACCTGAGGATGTCCTCTAGACGCCTTCGGGGATTCCCAGAAATTTCTCCGACGAAACGACAGACTGTAGCAGCGAAGATAAACAGAGGGACTGCCATGTTCACCAGCGTCTGGACGCTCCTCTCTCCAGGCCACTCTGAAGAAAGAGAGCGTTCTTCTCTTGTCCTAGTAAGCTCATGCTCGAGATAGACACGTATGTCACGTTCGATCGTTTCCCTTGACACCTCATGCAGGATCAGATCTTCGTATGTGCCATCAGGCATTTGCTTGAATCCGAGGCGGATATGCAGCTCCGGTCTGCTTGTTACGAAAACCCGTAACGATACCGGTTTAAGATCCTTCGTTCGCGAAAGGAGCTGGAGGATCGCTCGGATATCGCTGTCTCGCTCGCATTCGTCCAACGCGTCTATTACAATAAGAAGTACCAAGGTTAGAAGATGTGCCACTTCTGAGAGTGGCTGGAGGATGAGCTTCTCGAACTGGTCCTTCAGGGCCTTCTTAGATATAGCTGGGTCGGCATCAACTGCCTTCTTGATTCCGGGTCCTATCTCTGATACGTGAACAGCCAGCTGTGTGGTGATTGTGGTGAAGAATCGCGTGGCATTGCCGCGCTCTCCTTCGCCTCTCTTAAAGAAGAAGCTGGCTCCTAGTTGTCGTTGGTCGGTGAACGTCCGGGCAATAGTACGAGCAATTGTAGATTTTCCCGTGCCTGCCGCGCCGTTCAGCCAGAATATAGGTTTGCCATTCTTATCGTTTACCCATCCTTGTATGTGATGCAGCAACTCAGTACGGGTGTTTGGAAGGCATGTCGAGTTATGTTCTTCCATGTGGGAGTCGAAGGAAGCTCCATTAACGGTAGGCAATCTTGCCACATCGATCCTTAATAAAAGCGTGTCGGTTTTTTTGTCAACGAGGTTTAATTTCTGATCGACACTAAGGATAAGCCCTCTATATAGATTTATCGTTAGATTCGCTTACACTATTAAATAACTAAAACTTACGTTTGATCGACTTGAAGCGCAAGTCCGAAAGTGTGTTCGTACTGCTTAAGACTAGCAACTATATTCTCCACCTGCTTGCTGGTGAAGGGCCATTTTAAGGCTCGGAAACCAACTCGCTGCATCGCTTTACGGCCTCGGCCTGGCTCGAGTTGCGTCTTGAGCCCTTGCAACTGCTGATGGCATTCTTCAAGTGAATCTAGTAGCTTGCGCGTAGTTGAAAGCTGCGATTTGTCCTGCTTGTCCAAAAGCTTTCGAACTTCTTCTAGGACATTCTTGATATCGGTGACTTTTTTTTGGAGGCGTTCGATGTCCCTCTTTGCGTCCTTGACGGCGACTGAGTACTGGAAACAGAGCGATGCGACTTTAGCGGACATGTCGACGACAGCGATTATGCTTGCCGCTCCTGAAAGGCCATCCATAATGCGACGCGCGGACAGGGTTGTGAAGAACGTGGTAGATCCGCGGTAGCGCTTCCCCTAGCTCGCAAGGCGGCGATACCGTTCCTTGGGTGTTAGAAGTGTTGTCGTTCATCTTGAGTTCGGCGAGGCTGAGAAGGCAGCTGCGGCTGAACGCTGCAGCGTCAACATCGGAGCGGTACGGAAATACGTTCTGCCGAGTCTCCCCCTCTTACGTTCTTCTAGAAGACACAGAGTAGCGTCACGTAGCTTGCCCACGCTAGCAGGGAGGTGGCCGAACCGCACCGGCCAGAGGGTTGTGAGGTGGCGAATTCTGTAGATGTTTTCAGAGAGTTGAGTTGGTTGACCGGAGGGCATGGCCAAGGCTGAATTGAATCGCAAAGGTTTCGGGGCTGGGCCCGGTCCGCTTGCCAAGGCTCCGCACAGCCACAGATCTAACAGCCACCTGGAAATAAATTATACTCTAATGATTATGTAGGACGTACGGGGCAGATGTGCACTAGCCAGAATAGGTGATCGCTTTGGCTGGGAGTACCAATTGGCGTGGCGACCTTGCATGAGGACAGCGAAGTCCGACTCTGCAACCTGTACGAGGTGCTGTCTACGAACCTCATCTTCGTGATGAGAGCCGATGCAGAGAGGCAATCAACGACCTGAGATAATCAACGACCTGTGGACATCGACCTGTGCTGCCGCATAGGACCACTTACCCCTGAGCGACCAACAACCGAGATCAACAACTACGCGGCGAACGAGTACAATCAACACCTGAGCGAATAAGGAAGCTACGGAGTTCATAGAAAGCGAGCCTGAATTCATAGACAGGAGGCTCCAAAATGAGGCGAGCCTGGAGTCACAGTCAGGAGGTTCCAAATCGAGCTCCAAAGCCATCTATTTGCGATCAGACGAACACACTGCCAGATACGTAACCACTTCAACCCACCCCTACGCACCTTCCGACCGGCTCCCACCATACACCAGTCCTGCCTTCGAAGTTTGGGTTGTCACAAACATATTCGATAAGCTGCTGCTACGCCGATATCCTGACCAGCAACACTCCTGCAATCGCGCAAGATGAGGACGAACGACAAGAGGAGGACGGTCACACTCTACTGACTTCTGAATGAGATCACATGACATGTTTGTCAAAATGCCTCGAGTAACAACGATATGGGCTCTGAACGATGAGGACCGAGAATGAGACGATGGATCAATGTTCCCTGTGTTTGCACTAGTGTATATAGCAAGTGATAGCTCACCGGGCCAATGGGCACCCGAGGCGTAAGAACAATCAAATCAAATCAAATCAGACCTTGCATGAATTTGCGCGCCACAGCAGACACAAGGTTAATGAGAACTTCCTAGCATTATAGCGAGGTTCTAAGGCTCAGATAAGACCCTTCTGTGAGTATAAAATGGTAAGAGCTTAACAGTAGTACTGTGGTAAAGGAACTGTTGCGACACGAAAGGAAGCTCTGTGCAAATTAAGCGCGAAGGCGATGATGCAAACGTAATTTTTAGGTAGAAAGGCTTCTAAGTGTTTAGAAATGGCCATAGCACACAAATTAAACAAAACTATAGCAAATATCGACGTGTGCGTAGAGTCGGAGTTTCTTAAAGTCAAAGTAACGTTAACAGGTGCATTTTCTCCATGATGACGTCAAGCATAGTAACAACAGGCCTAATTGGTAGATACGTTAACTATGAGATGGTACCGTGGATCTCATGAGCATGTCGTTGCAAGTGCATCTTGTTTGCCAGGGGCACCTGACAAAGCCTGCAGCTAAGACGCTCCCCATCCTCAATGTATTGCAAATGCTTGCGTTTGAAATGTTTGCTGAGATCGCCTGGGGTATGAAAGGAGTGTGTGCGCGATGCCGTCGGCAGAGTTTCGTTGCCCAGGCAAACGAAACATACCTTTGGCCTGGTCTCCTTGTACACCGATACCTTGGCTGCTTCGAGCTCTCTAGAACTCAGGTCATTCTACCTCGGAAACGGTGTTACCGCCTTCAAAGCAGGATTCGAGCTGTTCGTACTGTCCTGTAGAAGCGTAAGGAGAGTAGTGCAGGCGAGAGACGTTAGGACGCAGAGAGAGAAGGACGAGAGGTCCATCGTCAACGAAAGAGGTAGGAGGCGACCTTTCTCACCCAGGAGCGGGGTACTCTGCTACCTCAACAAGACAACTGGATAGACTCACAATCTCAGCAAAACCTCATATCTTCATTCTATTATTAATTTCAGTCTGTTGTTGGCTGGCAATGCAGCCGAAAGAAGAATTCCTGGACCTATAGAAACAAAATAAGCTTACCTCTGACTTGTCCTTACGTCTTGGTTCCAAAGCCACAAAACCTCCTGTACCAATACGTACACTTATGAGACGGTACCGTGGACATCCAATGCATGTCGCTGCAAGTGCATCTTGTCGTCAAGACACACCTGACAGAGATGGCAGCCGAGTTGATCCCCTTTCTTGATATGCTGCAGGTGCTTCCTCCTGAAATGTTTGCTAAGATCCCCTGAGGTATGGAATGAGTATGTGCGTACTTCCGTAGGCAGACTCTGGTTGCCTAGGCAAACGAAACATATCCTCGGCCTCGTCACCTTGTACACCGCCACCTTGGCTGCTTCCAGCGCCTTTCCATCAAGATCCAGCTGGGCATTGTCTTCGTTCTTTTTAGGCGGCATGATGCGATTACTCGCACGTTTCGGCAGGGATAGGTGCATTCCGCCTTCCTCGATCCCACAATATCGCATAACGGCACTGATGGCCGTGTTCCGCCGGCCGAACTCCTCTTCCAGTGTGAGTCCCGGACGGGCCAGGATAGCGTCGATCAACTCCTTCTGTGCCGGGAGCAGAGCACCATGTCCTACTTCGAGTTCGTCCTTGATCTCGATGCCAGCAAGCTGCTGCTCGACATCACGCACGGGCTGTTCGAACTCCCAGCGTTCCTTGACGTCCTGAAGAAGGGCATGCCGCCGACGCTGCCTCTCCCGGTTGATCTTGGAGGTAAGCGCTTTGTACTTTGGATGTTTGGTTGCGTTGGTAAGGGTACGTTTGAGATGCTCTCGCCGGTCGAGCA